AATCTAACAAAATTTAAAAGCAATTTAAAACAATTCAAAAACAGCAATATCAAACATTAAAAGCCTGTCGAAACAGGTATGCCTTACATGCCCTGCAGAAAGCTGGTAAGTCCCGCAAGGCACGGACTTCAGGTGGCAGAGTATTCCAGAGTGATGGTGCCACTGCTGTGAAGGCTCTGTGTCTGGTTGCTGTTAGACACAAGGTCTTGACACTGGGAATTTCCAATAGATCGTGGTCCTCAGAACAGAGGGATCTCTGGGGTTGGTAGGGGGTGAGGCGGTCCCTCAGATGCATCGGCCCCAGACCATGCAAGGACTTAAAGGTGGGTACCATCACTTTGAAAGTGATCCGGTGCTCAATTGGTAACCAATTCAGCTGTGGTAAGATTGGGGTTATGTGGCATCTCATTGGAATTCCCACAAGAAGCCGAGCAGCTGCATTTTGTACCAACTTGAGCTTCCGGATCACCGACAGAGGGAGGCCAATGTAGAGGGCCTATATATATATATATTAGTGTGTGTGTATTTATTTATTTCCAGTATTTCTATTCCTTCCTACTCAACCTCCGAAGGGGGACTCAGGACGGCTTACATTTGGCGCAATTTGATGCCATTAAATATAACAAAGCACTATAACAACAATTAAAACAATAAATAGAACATCAATTAAAACAATAAAAACAGTATTAACCACCATATCACCATTCCAGTCAAATTCCATATCCAAAGCGCTATTTATGCCTGCTGTCCAAAAGCCTGGTCTCAGAACCACAACTTCAGTTTCTTCCTGAAAGACAGGAGGGATGAAGCCGATATTTCTTCATTGGGAAGTGATTTCCACAGTTGGGGGCTACAGCTGGGAAGGCCCTGTCTCTCGTCCCCACCAGATGTATTTGCGACGCTGACGGGAGTGCCTCCCCAGGTGATCTTAAACTGCAAGGTGGGATGTAGAGGGAGAAGCGTTCGGACAAGTAAGCTGGGCCAGAACCGTATAGATATATATGGGTTTGTGTGTGTGTGTGTGTGTGTGTATATATATATATATATATATATATATATTATAAAATGTATAATAATAGGTGGCCTGATTAATGCTTCAACACATTGCTTATTCGTTTATCAGGCATGACCCCAAAGTGGACCCTCCTGGTGCTTTGGACTCCAATTCCCACAATTCCTAACAGCCTCAGGCCCTTTCCTTCTCCTTTTCAGCTTAAGCAGCTGAGGGGGAAAAGAAAAGGAGGGTCCAAGTTTGGTTATGCCTGCATTATATGCTGAGAAATGCGGCTTGCTGTTATGTACCAGTGCGGCCATAATTGGCACAGACAGCTTGCGACAGCGGGTCCCACAATACACACCAGCGAGAACCCTCAGATCTACTGGGGAAAGGCTGGTGTTGACTAAGGCTTCTTCCACACAGCTGAATAAAATCCCACATTATTTGCTTTGAACTGGAATATATGGCAGTGTGGACTCAGATAACCCAGTTCAAAGCAGATATTGTGGGATTTTCTGCCTTGATATGGTGGTGCAGCAGGTTAAACCACTGAGCTGCTGAACTTGCTGACCGAAAGGTTGGTGGTTCGAATCTGGGGAGCAGGGTGAGCTCCCACTGTTAGCCCCAGGTCCTGCCTATCTAGCAGTTCCAAAACATGCAAATATGAGTAGATCTATAGCTACTGCTCCAGCGGGAAAGTAATGGCACTCCATGGAGTCATGGACAACACCGGCTCTTCGGCTTAGAAATGGAGATGAGCACCACCACCCAGAGTCGGACACAACTATACTTAATGTCAGGAGAAACCTTTACCTTTTATTCTGTGTCATATGGCTGTGCGGAAGGGCCCTTAGTTCTGTAATTCGCTCAGGCTAAAGATTTCCAGATAAAGATTTGCTTTTTGGGAGTGGCTCTGCTCCTTTGGAATGCCCTGCTTGGGGAATTAGAACAGTGCCCTCTCTGTTGGAGTTTAAGAGGAGCCTTAAAACCTGTCTTTTTAAGGAAACTTTTGACTGAACTCATAACTTAGAAAGTTGAGAAAGAACCTAGACTGTATGATGTATTTAGGGGTGGTTTTAAAGTTTTAACGTTTTATTATATTTTAATGTTTGTTTTAGGATGTGTGACAACAATTACTAATATTTGGTTAACATGTTGTAACTTACATTATACACGTTTCTGTCCGTTGTATGCTGCCTTAAACCCTTAAGTGGGGAAAAGCGGGGTATAAAATTCCTAAATAAATAAATAAGTAAATAATGCAGGATCCCTTCTTTCCAGATCCTCAGAGCTTTGTGTTCATCGTCTAATGTAAACATAAGTCAAAACTATATTATCTCCAAAGCCACAGCTTACTTGATAATCCATAGACAATCTTTATACATTATGAACAACCAGACAGCTGGCTTAATAGAAGTCTCTTGTAACGTTTGGAATGATTGAGAAAGGTAGTCACTTTTATTGTTGTAATGTAGTTTTAAAAAAGGATATCCCATTTCCACTGTAGACCAGATTTGCTGCTTGCCTACATAACTGGGAAGAAGGGGGTGTCCTATAGTTGGAAGAGCAGGCCACAAGGGATAAAGAATCAAAGTATGCAAAAGGATCTTGGAGCAGTTTGGAGACTAACTAGAGAACAAAGTTGTAGTGTAAGGTTTTGTAGATCAAATCGATTTAGTCTGAATCTGAGAAAGTAGACTTAGTGTGCAGCAACGCTATAGAATTAATGTAGTTCGATATCATTTTGACGACTTGGTTATATTCTGGAACTTTGCCTTGGGAAGCAGCATACTTCTAAAGACATCCTACAAGGCCCAGATGGCACTGCGTTTCTTCTGGATAGCAGGGAATCACTTATTACCACCACATGTCTCTTCTTCCTCTGGGCATTGGCAATAGCTCTTTCATCCATAGGACCCTCCAAGATCCCTTCTACAAGTTCAGAGGTGAGAGACTCTTATCCCTGTTCTTCTTCTCCCCTTACACCATGTACTCAGAGACAGCACATGGCCGAAAGCAACCCAAACAACCCACTACCAAATAGTGTAGATGCACAATCAGAGTTGACCCCCAAAACACAAGCTCACTTTCTTCTCTCTCTTCAGAGACTGCAGAAGAAGGAGGTATTGTGTTCCTAGGTCACACTTCATAGTTCTCCTTAATAAAGTGTTTGAGATATATATGGGTGTGTGCTTTGTGTGTCTGTCTATGCAGACTCTTGTGGTCAGAAATAAAGGGTATTAGGTTTTATCTGGTTCAGTGACAAAACATTGTTATCAACATGTTTATAGTTGAAGCACTGAATTATTTTGACACTATGATCTACTGCTACAATAAATACAATAGTTTGAGAATTGAGTTTGTTCACATTGAATTCTTTTGTTCTGTTCAATTGTAGTGGTTTGCATGATAGTTTCATGTATTCCCTCTTAATATGATACATTTTAATTAAAATTGATATAGCACAGGTGATTGAAATTTGTGGTATTCTGGGCATGCTAAAACCTGATATGTTCCAAATTCTTGCTTTCATCATCTTTCCTCATTTCTTGCTTTTTGTCATGCATTGTTTTTTTCAATATGCTGATATTTTTTATGGCTGTTGAGGATAAAGTTTGACATAAGCTTAGTATTGCATAGAGGTGCCTGTAACTTTCACATGTCACAATAAGCCTCTGATTGGTTGAGGCGCCATTGACGTAGTCAGGGATCTCCTCCCAGCTGGCGAGGAAAGCCCGGAAGCCTCCAATCAGCTGGTGGAGGCAATCCGAGGGAGGGAGGGAGCTCTGGGGGTCATGCCTGGACCTGGGTGTGTAATCCAGGAATGTAGTGAACAAAGGAAAAGTCTTGGCACTATTATTTATAAAATTACATTTTCTCATTCAAAAACACATAATTTATAAAATGGGGCTATTTTCAGGGCCCTGGAACAGATTAATAGCATTTCAATGCATTTCAGTGGGAAAAATCACTTTGAGAGAAGAATGTTTTGACTTAAGAACATGGTCACAGAACAAATTAAATGCTTAAGTCAAGGTATCACTATATAACATTCTACTCTTTGCCAACAATATGCTTTTTTTTTTGTCGTGTCAGGAGCAACTTGAGAAACTGCAAGTCGCTTCTGGTGTGAGAGAATTGGCCGTCTGCAAGGACGTTACCCAGGGGACGCCCGGATGACAATATGCTGCTACTTACATACAATTTTTCAATTTTTGGAGATTTGAGACCTTTTGGAAACAAACCCCACATATATAGTAATATTGTTCATAGTTGCTAATCTTTATAATAAAAACTTTATAAATCAATGAACTGAAACATCATGTTTTGTGATAAAAACAACTATGCCTTTTTCCTTTCAGTGCTAGTTATTTGATTGTAATCCTAAACACATTTCCTTAGGGTAGTCCCTACTAAAACCAATAGGATTTACTTTAAAGTAAAT